GAAGCCAAGAATGATCTTCAGTCTAGAGCACGGCACAGAATTAGAACTGAGAAAAGCCATTACGCTGAGCTGATACGCTGCAGGCCCACGTTACTAGGTTGCATCAGGGCTTTTTTTTTTTCTTTTTTAATTTTATTAAAGAAAGGTATGTTCTTTTGGCAGTCACCTCCGTCAAGTGCGTATCCCTGTGCGTGACATTCACACGCAGACCTGGCCCTGAGTAGGTCACAAAACCAGCAGAAACCTAAAAACTGATTGTTTAGAAACTTAAGATATAAAACCCCTGACGTTTGCGTTTCTTTGTGGTAAGGTCTCAGCCTTTCCCATTTGGAAAGACTTAATAGAAAAATAGTTCTTTTGTTATGTATACCTAAAAAATTATAGATCACTCCCCCCCCCAAATCTAGTGGAGGAGAAGCCACTGGCCGCAAACAAAAAGCTGAGCTTTAAATCCAAAAGAATAGCTTGTTTCTCATTCTTTCGTAACTCTACCAGCTGAACAGATTTTTCTCGTGCTTGTCCTGTACTTCCCCCACAAAAATATTTCTGGGGTGGGGGGGAGACCAAGAGTGAAGTTTGATTTCTGAATTGGAAGGACAAATTCCTGAGATAGGGTGTAAATACTCGCTGAGGAAACGCCTCGCTGTGGTGTGCGCCAAATACGTTACAACCAGGAACGGCTGAACGTGTCCTTTATAGAAATGTATTTTCGCCTTTTGGGCAGTAGGTTCAGAAGCTGTTAGTGATTTACTGATGAGGTTTTTAGATTCTGAAGCAGCTGTCAGAGTGAGATTTCAGTGCGTGCCCTTCAGAAACTGCTGTAAAATATTGAGAGATCCCCCCCCAGCTTCATCAGTCTTGCGTACGGGGGTGGGGGATGCACGAACTTTTTCAGAGTCACAAATCTGAGTTGACCTGAAACAAATCAAACGTGGTTTTTTTTTTTTTTTTTCCTCCTTAATCATAAATAGCGCTGATCCTGTCAGCAGCCTTCCAGAAAGTAGAATGACTGTTGTTCCCAGGTGCTTTAACAAGTTCAGGCAGGCAAATAGATTTGCTGTTTTTAAAAAAAAAAAAAAAAAAGTGTGAAGAATGGCGAGACAGTCTTAGGCCTTTTGATATTTGTATATTATGTTTTGGTATTTGATATTTGTATTTGCTCCAGGGCATATACCAGTACAGGCAACGAGGCTGAGTGAAAATTAAGTGTTATTTAAGTAAAACAATAACTGAAAAGCTTTCAATAGTGTGTATGTGATGTTTTGCTCCATAATTTTTTTCACAGTTCATTCCTAGCCTTTGAGACTCCTGTGAAAAAAACGATGATAGGCTTTGCTGAAGGTCTGTCTCCACTCGAGAAATCGAGAAGTGGTTGGTTTGCTTCTCAGATAAAATGGTCATCGAGCTCCAGCGATGAGGTGAAAGAAAATGAGGCTGTCCTGGTGAAGCCGGCGCCGTTGAGGAGGCTGGATATTTCACCCCTTCGGGCAGCCGGTGTTCCCACGGCTGCGCAGAGGGAGTTCTCCAGGAAATCATCCCCAAAGACCCCTTCCTCGTACAAGCCCCTTGTGCCTGTGGTGTCTTTTTATAGCAAGGAAAAGCGATACCTTACTCCTCTTGAGAGGAAACAACTGAACGAGAACCACTGTCTGGGTGAGAGGAACAGGGATGAAGATCTGCCAGCTGCCCGGAGGACTGAGAAGACGAACGTGAACTTGAGCAG